TGAAGCTTAATAGTTTTCTTAACCGTGGTTTTTTTTTTTTTTTTTTTTTTTTTTTTTTTTTTATAATTATTATGCTGTTTTTAAAGGATTTTCAGTTTTTAAAATTTTGCTTTGACTTTTATTTTGTATTTATTTTACCTGTTCGCCATTGTAAATGACTTTCACTTTAAAAAACATCCCAGGGCTCTAGTGTAGAATTGGGTGCCTCTTCGATTAGCGACAACTTTTTTATTAATTTTGGTGATGAAACCTCACTTCTAATTACCATGATAGTTTTACCTGATTTTGGTTAATCTTTGGATTAGGGTAACTTGGCGATTTTTTGGTGAAAATTTGGCGACCAACCCTGCTAGTTTTTCTTTGGACGTCATTTTGTTTTCATGAATTAAAGACATTTTTTTTTTTTTTTTTTACTCAACATTTTTTTCCCAACAATCTGCTAGCCGAATTACGCTTATGCTAGAAATTTTATGGAACAAAAGTGTTTAATCGTGACGAAGATTAGGTGCGAAATTGGGAGAAAGTGTAGAATCGCAAACCGCTTGCCACACTTTTAAGAATTGCACATACAGGGTATCCATATACATGTCGACCTATTTTTTCACTTAAAAAAACATCCCAGAATTGCACAAAAATGGCATTGCGCACACTCTTGACTTTATCCATGTACACTGCTAAAGTCCTAGCTAGTAACCATTATTGCCTTACCAAAATGTCGCCAAACTACCTGTTACCATATTCCAAAGATTAGCCCTGATTTTATTTAAATGAAATAGATTGATGTGTACATGGACAAATTTAAGGCAGTGCACAATGCCTAGTTCGCGCAATTCTAGGATGTTTTTTTAAGTAAAAGCAGATCGATGTGTACATGGACACTGAGTTTGTGAAATTCTTTGACTTATTTTGGTTTCGTGTAGCGGTCATCTTGAAATTGTGCTTTCCTGAGCGGATCTTAGCGTCAAAAAAGAATCGCCAAAAAACAAGGGGCACCCAATTGTAAACTTTTACCCATCGCAGAATTGCACAAAAAATAGCATTGTGCACTCCCTTTATTCATGTACACATCGACCTATTTTCACTTAAAAAGTCAAAGAAAATTGACAAAAATCTAATTCTTCTTACTCCTGTAAAAAGCGCCAAACAAATAAGTGGGCGATTCTGCACTTTAGCCAAAAGTTTTACATCCAGGCATAGTTCTAACACAAATGACATAAATGCTTTCCAAAAAAGAAAAGGACACCATGTCTTCCCCAGTAACGGCAAATTTGACTGAAACAATGCCAAGGAGACAAAACGGCTGATCTTTGGAATATGATAACTGGTAGTTTGGCGACATTTTGGAGGCGATAAAGGTTACTACCTAGGACTTTGGTAATAATGTGAGAAGTACTCAGTTCCGATTACGCATTATTTTGTGAGAGGGAAATGAGAGATCATGAGATATGTCATATGATATTAATGGACGAATTACAGTGTATTAATCGGAAAAGGGGGGGAATTCGGAAAACTGTAGTACTATATTATTTTGTATTAAGCTTCATTGTGTGTTGTGGGAAATAGTGGAAGTGTGCGTGCCACGTAATGAAGATTCTGAAGATTAAGTAAGTTAGTATTTTTAATCATTTGAGGATATTATTTTTATGCATTGTTCTAAATGTAAGGAGTAAATAAATTAATATGATATTATTGGAAAATTGTTATTAGCAATGATTTAGTTTAAAGTAATTAGGATTGTAATCTAATTTTTATTAATTTAATGTATGTGCTTATTTATATTTTAAGTAGTGTTTTTTAATTTAATTTATTTTAATTTAATGATCGTGATTTTGTGAGTTATATGTGTGTAGTATTTTGGAATATGTTGAGTATTTTCATGCATTTTCGTGAAATTTTTCTAATTTATGAGAAAAAAAGCAGTGTACATGGATATAGTGAAGAGTGAGCGCAATGCCATTTTTTTGCAATTCTGGGGATGTTTTTTTAAGTAAAAATAAGTCGACGTGTACATGGTTTAGTGATATTTTAATTAAATGATAGTTGTTTTGTGAATTTTATGTTTGTAGGAAATTTCGTATACGTTTCAGTTGAAGTAAACACGCATGGATGTAATTTAAATATTTGACACTAAGTATTTGTAACCATTTGTAATGTTTGCAGTATAAATTTGTTGGTGATGTTTATAATATAATAGATAATTTAGAGGTAAAAGTTTTTTAGATATTTTATTTATTTTATACGTGGAAATGTTCATTTTGGGAAGGGGGTATATACTTTTTGCGATCAGGTAATTTCATATGTTCTTTTTACCGGATTTAAAGATTCGCAAAATTTTCATGCATTTCTGAAATTTTTCTAATTTATGAGAAAAAAAGCGTGTACATGGATATAGTGAAGAGTGTGCGCAATGCCATTTTTGTGCAATTCTGGGATGTTTTTTTTAAGTAAAAAATAAGTCGACGTGTACATGGTTTAGTGATATTTTAATTAAATGATAGTTATTTGTGAATTTTATGTTTGTAGGAATTTGGTATATGTTTCAGTTGAAGTAAACGTGTATGGAAATAATTTAAATATTTGACACTAAGTATTTGTAACCATTTATAATGTTTGCGGTATGAATTCGTTGGTGACGATTATAACATAATAGATAATTTGGTACTTTTCCGTTTCGCCGGCGCAAATCTCGCCAAGCAGACTTTATTGGCGACAGCATACAGTATACACATAAAAAATATTTTAAAAAATGTTAGTTCTAAGAATTTTTTATTTTGAAGGCATAAACATTTTAATATCACTTAAAATTTTATACAAAGCCAATAAATGAAGACAATAAATTTGGGTTGATCTTTACATTATGGTAACTTGGCGTTTTTTGGCGACCAACTCTCCTACAGCAACCCTCTATTTTTTTTTCCCGCCGCCATTTTGTCTTCACGATCTAAAGACATGTTTCTTTTCTTTTTATCTACTGAACACTTCTTCCAACAATCTACTAGCCGAATTACACTTATGCTAGAAATTTTATCTAACAATAATCATGACATCATGACAAATATGATGATCATGACAAATCATGACAAATATTCACTGCAAAATTGGGAAAAAGTGCACAATACCATACTCCTTACGCGTTTTTCAAAATAACACATACACGTAAACCATGTACACGCCGACTTATTTTTACTTAAAAAAAATCCCAGAATTGCACAAAAATGGCATTATGCACACTCTTCACTATATCCAGTACACTGCTTTTTCTCATTAATTAGAAAAAATTTTTACGAAAATACATGACAATTTTCTCAATCTGTAAACCCGGTAAAAAGAACATATATGAAATTACCTGATCGCGAAAAAGTATTTACGCTTTCCAAATAGAACATTTCCACATATAAAATAAATAAAATATCCAAAAACTTTTACCTCTAAATCATCTATTACATTATAAACGTCACCAACGAATTCATACCGCAAACTTTTACAAATACTTAGTGTCAAATATTTAAATTATTTCCATGCACGTTTACTTCAACTTAAACGTATACCAAATTCCTACAAACATAAAATTCACAAAAACTATCATTTAATTAAAATATCACTAAACCATGTACACGCCGACTTATTTTTACTTAAAAAAACATCCCTGAAATTGCACAAAAATGGCATTGCGCACACTCTTCACTATATCCATGTACACTGCTTTTTTCTCATAAATTAGAAAAATTTCACGAAAATACATGACAATTTTCTCAATCTTTAAGCCCGGTAAAAAGAACAGATATGAAATTACTTGATCGCAAAAAAGTAATGAACATTTCCACATATAAAATAAATAAAATATCCAAAAACTTTTACCTCTAAATCATCTATTACATATACACGTCACCAACGAATTCATACCGCAACCATTACAAATACTTTTGTCAGATATTTAAATTATTTCCATGCACGTTTACTTCAACTAAACGTATATACCAAATTCCTACAAACTAAAATTCACAAAATAACTATCATTTAATTAAATATATTAATTCAAAAACACTACTTAAAATAATAAATGAGACATACATTAAATTAATACATACATAAAACCCATTCGAATTCACTTTACATTACGGGCCATGGGATCCAAAAATTAATCGAACACTGTTTCACACAACACACTATGAAGCTAAATACAAAATGCTAAACGCAATACAAAATTTCCAGATTTTTTCCCGATTTCCCCCCTTTTCCGATTAAAGAACCGTAATTCGTCCATTAATATCACATGACATATCCCATGATCTCTCATTTCCCTCACACAAAATAATGCGCAATCGGAACTGAGTACTGCTCACATTATTATCAAAGTGCCAGGTAGTAACCTTTATCGCCTCCAAAATGTCGCCAAACTACCAGTTACCATATTCCAAAGATCAGCCGTTTTGTCTCCTTGCCATTGTTTCAGTCAAATTTGCTGTTACTGAGGGAGACATGGTGTCCTTTTCTTTTTTGGAAAGCATTTACGTCATTTTTGTTAGAACTATGCCTGGATGTAAAACTTTTGGCTAAAGTGCAGAATCGCCCACTTATTTGTTTGGCGCTTTTTACGGGAGTAAGAAGAATTAGATTTGCATTTAATTTATTTCCAAAACATTTAATATTGCTAAACTCTATCCTACAAAGGATTAGTTTAAATATATACCTGGAAATATTCAACAATTTGATTATTTTATATGTTGCCTTTCACAGTGCATTCAACTTTGAGAATATTAAGTTGCAATGCGTTAGGATCAGCACTCCATTTCATTATTATTTATATAAATTACATTCTGTAATAAATTATTCATGGCTACAAGATCAAAATAACATATCGTACTTAATCAAACAGTTATCCTTCGCTCTATGTGCTTTACATCAATTTATACACTGCTTAGTTAGTTTGAGCAATATAAATTGTTTAAAAACAGTTTTTAGTTTCAGTTTCAAAACACATTTATAAAAAATACGAATACCTGTCCAGCAGTTAAAGCAGCGAGTACTCCACCCATTTTCCAGGAACGCTTATAATTTGAAAAATTACTCAGAAACTATGAAAAAGCAACTAACTCCAGCAACGTACGTACAGTTTCGAGACTAGAAACAAGTAAATCCTATTACTCAATTAAGACGAAACCCTAATCATAACAATGGAATAGTAGAGTTGAGTTGTCAGATACTTTAGGATCAAGGAAGGTCCGTAGAAAGAACCTTGGGTTCAATTACCATACTTTACACTTTTACTAACTCATAATCTTTTTATACCCACATCATCAAAGATTAAAAAGATCAAAGAGAGTGTTCGACAAAGAGATAAAAATTTAGTGTCGAGTGTCGAATTGTCAAAATAACAAAAGGTAAATTGCCTTCCACAGTGAAAAAAGGTAAAAATGCTGAAGGAATTAATTTAATAATTTTGAGATCGAATAAAGGGGCAGAATCAATTTAGAAGTGTTACATTGAGGGATGGTTGCTATTAAGGTGGCATATTAATTGAACTGACACCATAATTGGATGAAACAGCATTCAATATAAAAATTATTTTATTATACACACAGGAATAAGACTCGTATTGGGAGGATTGCGTAGCGAACTTTTCACTCCAACGGCGCCGGCGAAAAAGGAGGCTGTGAGGCGAGACAGAAGTTGTGACGTAACAGGAGGACAGATATTGTTGCGCCTCTTGCTAATTGGCTACAACATCATGAATTTAAAAAAATTTTTGTTCAATGATGTGATGTTAACAATACTAGTAAGGAACAACTCGCGAAAGGTCATTCACGTCGCAAGTAATTTGTGTCTGGAGAAGGAATGGAGCTAGTAACTCGTTAGGCGAGTTAGATTTAGAGACGGGGCCCGAACTGTCTCTGAGGAGAAACAAGAGGTTAGCGTCGCTGAGCGACGCACGCATCTTGATTTACTGTAAGTATTTTTTGCTCTCTCCTCCTCATCATCATCAATGGCGGCCAAAAAACCACCAGACCGATTTTGGAACATGCATGATAGTGATAGCGAGATGGACCACTCAGATTATTCCTCCTCATCTAAAAATAGCGAAAAATATAAAGTTAAAAATTATCTCAAAATATCTTCCGGCTCAGACTCTATGTTACAACAAACTAAAAGAATCAAGAAAAATAGCTCCCCTAATCCAGCGACTCCAAAAACTAAAGAATTTCAAGAAACCATGGAAAAATATAAAAGCATATTTCCTAATTTAATTAAAGGCATTCAAACCGGACCAGAAAAATCAGGTCAAGAAATACAATACGATGTACTCAGGAACCAACTACTCGGAGAAATTTTGAATAAATCCCAAGAAAGGATAATAGAACAAACTGATTTAATGGACACAGGCGCAATGGATGAAAAAACTTATATAGAAAATGTAAAAGAACATGAAAATTTAACGGAAACAATCAATGATGTAATCAGCAAAATAGAATTACCCAGTCAGGAAACCGCAATAAGAATTGCAGAAGAACTAAAAGGGAAAAAACCCTCAAAAACATGTAAAGCGGACCAAAACCCCAAACTCGATACTGAAATTGAAAAATCAAATAGATTCGAACCCTTAAACAATAATGAAGATAAAGATTCCACCAAAAATAAACCTAATGACAATATTGTAAAAATCCCACCAATAGTTATTACCGACGAAGATTTAGACTGGCTCGAGTTACAAAAATTATTATGCAATCAAATACTCAAAAATCCTTACGAAACGCAAATGAAAGCCGAAAAGGTTTATCTTCAAACAAATACCGAAGACGACCATAATAGCGCCATAGAATTTTTAAAGAAAGCAGGCATAGAATTCCATACATATCAACTCTATTCAAAATCCACCATCAAAGTTATACTAAAAAACATACCAAGAAGCATTTCCGAAGGAGCCATCCTAGAAGTTTACAAAGAAGGAAATTTCCAATAATTAAAGTAAAGCAGTTCACCGAAAGAATCGAAGGCGACTATGTTAAATTACTATTTATTTTATTGAACTTGAAAGAACCAAAGCTGGTGAAGCAATTTTCAACTTAAACAATATCTTCAATTTTAACGTCATAATAGAAAAATACTCCCCTAAAAACAGAAGACCATTCCAGTGCTACAAATGTCAAAATTACGGACACTCACAAAATAATTGCTTTAAAAAAGATATCTGTTGTAAATGTTCAAAGAATCACCGTACAAATACCTGTACTCTAAAAAATGATGACAAACCTACCTGCTATTTTTGCCAAGGCGAGCACGTCTCGTCCTATCGTGGATGTCCAATGTATAAAAAGAGATTCCAAACTAAACCAGCAGAAAATACTCAAGAAATTCCAAATCTTAAAGACTTTCCCGCCCTTTCAAAAAATGAAACAACTAATAAAGAAATTCCAAGAAATATCTCATACAGTGCAATCCTAAAAGGACAAAATACTCCAACAGAAGATGATAACCCAATAACAGCAGTCTTTTCAAACCCAAAAATATTTAAATTCATCCAGCACATGACCGATATAGCAAAAAATATTAAAACAGCAAAATCAAGCACCGGAAAAACTCGGCAATAGCCTTCCAAGCAGTGAAGATTGCCTTGCAATTTGCCGAAGACGAAAACTAAGTTCTTACTCAGACCCAACCAACAGATGGCGACACTTATGTGAAGAAGCTAAGCCCAAATCGAGATCATCATGCCTGCTTTTCACCGGTGCCAAAGGATGGCGCCACCTCTCCAATAGAAGTGAATGCTTCTGGAGTATTTCTAAATTTGGAATCCCTAGCAAGGGTACGTAGCTGCCTGGTTAAAGACCTTTTAAGGTCTGTGTACTAGTCTCCAGGCTCAGGATGTGGATGTGGATGAGAGATAAATAAATTAATAGCCTTAAGTGTTATGATATAATCGTAATAAATTAAAGAATTCAGATTGAGTTTAAATAAAATGTCTGTGCACAAGAACCCTTTTAGCAGGGAACAAAGAGGTGCTTACTCTTAAGTTACAACAGCTTACGGTTGAAAGAAATACTAATTGCTCAATTACGGGACAAAGAGAGTGACCTTGAGTAACCCTGAGCGAAGCTAAAAGAACAGCAAATTCGCTCAGGCAGGTAGGGAAGGTTGAGTTCGCAGTGGCTATTCGCACCGTGCGATTAGCTAAGGCTGCGTTCAAACGGCGGCGTAAAGGGCATAGAGGCGTAGTCATAAGGGCATAAAATACGGGAATTACGTTCACACTTGCGAGAACAGAGTATAAGCCGTGGTCAATGGAAGAAGCTAAATTTGCGCATGCGTGGATGTGTCTACAAATTTCCCGCGCTGTTCTCCTGCTCGAATGACTTCCCCCGTTTGTGACAGCGAAATCTTCTTTTTTAGCTTCGCTTCGTTTTAGCTTTGCTCTGATTGGTCGACGCTTATCCCAATCGCTTATCGCTTATCTGATTGGTTCGAGCATGCGCAGCCCAGGTACACCCATTTTACGCCGATTTGCCGTAATGCTGTTATCACATACGATATTTGTTGCCGGAACAAAACGTTTGAAGGAACAGTTCTGAGAATCGCTTTTCCGCGAAATCGGGTTACCATCTTTACTTTGTAAACAGGCTGAAAGCCAAACAAGAATCAGTTATCGCTCAGATTGGCGAAAGTGACGTTTGCTTCTTCGTGTTGTTTTGTAACGTTCACACTCTTTTCGTTTTAAACTTTATTGTTAGTTATGGAAGATAATAGAAAGGTGATTGCTATCAAGTTAATCACTTTGATCTCCACTCTGGCACTTCAAGTAACAGATAAACACACTTCTGATTATAGCAATCAATTACGTTTGTAATAGACACACTAAGACTGGTTTAAAACGTGGTTGGATAAGTCTGTTTATCAGACATTACTTATGTATATTTTCTGATGTCTGCTTTCCAATGAAAATTTGATGCCTCACTGGAAAATTTGTGACCCGGTGAAAGCATTTTCTTGACTAACTTTATGGCTCATAATTACTCTTCAGTCCATAAGTATAAACAAACAAACAGACTGAAAAAAAAACTAAGACCTTCTATGACAAAAATCTATATTGCTGATATTTACATCCTCACAGCCAGCAGATACTATTCAGCAAAACGAAGATTAAATTAAGCATATGAATACACGAACAATTTAACATGTCCGAGTTGTTTACTGTTCCATAGAACACTCGGTAATATATCTAAAACACATTAATTATACCAACTCTAGAAATTATGAGGTGCACATCAGGAGTTCATTTTATGTGATTATAGCAAAGCCTCGAGGGATATCTGCCTAACAGGAGGGATCACTTTGCAGAAGATTTTTTTAAACTGGCTCGTATATTAGTTACAAATGGGGAAAACCAAGAAAACGCCCATGTAACCAGCCCGTTCGCGGGATTCTAACCTCACACTGAACTACCAGTGTTCAACGACGCTTCGGCCACTAGTAAGCCTGTGCACATAATTGGAAAGTACAATTCATTATGTAAACACACATGAAGGTGATAATCAGTTGTGCACTGTTTTAAGTAATCAAATGTTATAAATGCATAGCTGTTACATTTCTTATTATTTCTTAGTAATATTTGTATTACGTAGATCATACATATGATATAATTATGATTAAAATGTGTACACTCTTTAGCACTCAAATGCTCATCAATTATTTTTCAACTGATTACATATCCATAATAATTTGCAAAGAACTGATGACTACAGTTGCTGCCAATTACATGATCGTTATATGAATATGAAGTAACTTCAAATAAACTTTTTGGCAATGTCATTTTTGTATTCATACATACCTATATTCTAATTTCTATAATATTCCACACATCTAATAAGTCATATATTTACATACAGATAGAGAGATGCGATGGTTTAGATGTTGTTGATATATATTTATTAGTATTATTCTAATGAATAAGATTTATATTAATGAATGTATGTTGTACAAATGTTTTTCATCATGTATAATAATAAATTCATAAATTTGCAATGTTTCAATATGTAGCATTTACAATAAAAGTATAGTTTCTAATGTATTTATAATCCAAAAAGTATATCATTAATAACATGAAAATAATAGACAAATTTAATGAGTATTCTCATTATAACATAAAGTATGCTTTTCTTTTTTTATGCTGTTTAAAATGTGTCACTGACTATGCAATTAACAATTTCAAAGATAAGTAATTAGGAGAAAAGCCGCGCATATACAAACGGATTTAAAAAAATTAATCAACTTAAATTTAAGAAATAAAATTATATTACATAACAGTGATAATACACGATCGGCACGAAATACGACAAATTTGGCGAACTTTTGGCGACGAACAATTTGCAAACAAATCCGAACTGCAAAAACGTCGTAAAATACTGTCAACTCTGAAATTTACACGATTATATATGTAATGAATATATAAACATTTTTAAAATGACTCAGGCAGTTTTATTACAACAAAACAGCAATAATTAAATCAGCCTCTGTTTCCACCGTACGTGACTTCACAGAGAGCCATCGTCATATTGAAAGTTACCCGTGATCCTTCAGAAGCAGAACTTTTGTCTGATTGGTTGAACGTACGAGGAACACATCTCCAGACGGAACATTTTCGGGAAAATTTCAAAATGTTGCTCATAGCCGGAGCGTTTCCTACAACGAAACATTTTTCAGAGCTTCCGCTTAGATGCTACTAATTCGCTCTCAGACGTCCCGCTGCGTATTTACTTCCTCCCAAACGCACCCGCGACAAATTTGCGATTAGAATCAGGAAATAGTGTGCCTAGCCGTCACTAAGGCTCCTATATACCAGGCTGAATCATCAGGCATTCGCTATCCCAAGTGGGAGATTAAATGGCGGCTGTGTAGTTACGGTGCAACAATTTTTTGTGTTTTTTTTTTTTTTGTGTAAAATGGGCGGATGTGCAGCTATTAATTGTTCAAATCATTCACGGAAAGGTCATACATTGGTAAAATTTCCTAAAAATGAAGAAAGAAGAAAAATATGGGTAAATAATTGCCGAAGAGACAATTGGAAACCTGGTCCAAGCGCTGAATGAACTTTGCTTAGTAAGTATAATGTTAATTACGCCTTGATTTAGAGTTTATATCTTCTCTGATGTTTATAATGTGTAAGTAAAGTGAAATTCTTGTGTACAATAACCTAAGTATCTGCTAATTTCTGTAATAATAGCTATAATTAAATTAGTCTAGGGTTAATGTACCCGTCGCCAAACATCGCCAATGTGGATGTTTTGAATGTGGAAAAGAAAAGAAATTTCTCTTCTAATATAAAGCGCAAATTTTGTTTTCCTGTGCTAATTGTGGAAATTATACTAATGTAACATGAAAATCATTAGCATATTGAAATTTATTAAAAAACAAATCAATAATTTGGAAAGTCAAGATAAAATCTGAATGTTTGCTAAAGATATATGTAACATTATACTATAGTTGCAATATCGTTGGAATGATATATAATTTTTTTTTATTTTATAATCACTATTGTTAAAAAGTTAGATGAGTTTTTTTATGCACGGTGCCCACTAATGTTTCTTGGTTAAAATAACTTCCAGAATTTTGACATTGACATCTGAAGTCAATAGAATAAATTGAATAGTATGAGACAAAATATATATAATCTGACTTCAATAATTGCAAGTACCATATATTTATAATCACAGTATTATACAATTTGGCAATGGAGTAAAGATTTAGAAATGAATGCAGAACATTCAAATAAGCACAGAAAACTTGTGAAACTGCATGTGTATTTTTCAAAAATAATTGTAGTGTTTTTAATGCATGTGTAGTGTTTTAATGCATGCATAACAATCAAATAAATCTGCCTATAATGATGAATTTCAAAGGCCAAGCCAAAATCCTTTCATGAATTTGATACTTCTAAAGAATGTGATCTCGTCAAATTAAATCCTCATGACATTGATAAACAGTTATTACTGATATGTGTTACAAAGCAGATTTTTATATACATGATAAATAATATTTTCTGAAGCGTTATTTTGTGTTGTCATCTCTAAATAAGAAATTGCCTACAAATTCAGAAAGCTACTGAACTACGTTCTAGAGTTTTTAATAACTTTAATTGGATATGTCTGTGGGGATGTAATTTAAAAAATTGTCGTTTAAACTGGCCTTGATGCTTTTTAAAATGCATGTTGGCACTGTGCTCCGAAATTAGGCCTATGTTTTGAATGATTAGAGAATTAAAAATTAAATATTTCAATTAAAGCAATAAACATTACTACAATTATAACAAGAATCATAGTCTGCTCTAATTATAAATGTATTTATCGGCCTAGTATAGTATCTTAAAAGTTGGGTGAAGTGAACTCATTATTTTCTTATCTATTGTAAGAGCACTATAGCAAGAAATATAAAGTTTTATTTTAGTTGTTTTTAATTTTATAGCAAAACACTACTTCATTTAATTTTTGGATAATGTTCTAAAGAACACTTTAAATTATAGGCAAAAAATAAATATTGGATAATTAAATTCTGCCCAAGCTTACAAGATGCTGCTGCTGATATGTTAGACATGGTTTGTTTATTGTTTCAGTTTTTTATAATACTGGGCCTAATTTAATTACCTGCATATTTATTTATTGCCTATACTTACTTACAGTTCATGCTTGCTGCCTTTGGCACAACCTCACTGTGTGAAACACTTTTCTCACATTTCTTTCGTGTGGTTTGTTTTTTGTACTTTTATTTATTTTGTATACTTTTTTTTATTACTTTATGTATTTACAGGATCATTTTGAGGAATCTCAATTTGAGTCACTATGCAAAGATAGTTAAAAAACTAAGAAAAACTGCAGTACCAACACTCTTTAGCATTCCAAATCCACCACCATCTGTAACTGACAAGAGGATAAGAGAAGTAAGATGTCCTAAGCCAAATACTGAAGTGGTAAATTATTATTTAATATTCTCCAAAAAAATTGTTGAAAAAATCATTGTTATTACAAATATATTAATTCAGTCCAACCATTGTTTAAAAAAATAATCACAGCATAACATGTTTACTATTTCTTTTTGAATTTAGGAAACTCTACCTGCTTCAAATGAAGAGTTGTTAAAAAAAATAGAATTCCTTGAGCAACAGCTTCAAGAAAAAGATGCAAAATTGACATCATTTTTGTCCGATGAGCAAGTAGGAACCCTTGCTGTGCAGTCAAAAAGGAACTGGTCAGAAAAGTCCATTATAAAAGGACTGAAGATGCGATTTGCTTTGGGCAAACATGGATATAATTACCTCAGAAGTACTGGATATCCAGCACCATCGTACAGTACCTTGAACAGGAGGATTAGGGACATAAAAATTAAATTTCGGCATTTTAGAAAATTTGTTTTTTTTTCCTCAAGACAAAAGTTCATTCATTGGATGCTCTTGATAGGAACTGCTGCCTTTTAGTTGACGAAATGGAAATAGCTTCATATCAAGATTTTGATACATCGTCTAAGTCATTCATTGGAAATGTTACGTTAGGAAAACTAAGCATTACACTACACTTGTAATGCTTAGAGGCCTTAAAACATCATGGAAACAGATTGTTGCCAATGAATTAACAGGGCCTTCAACATCAGGTTCTGACATGAAAGATCTAATTCATAGAACTGTAGTAGCAGCTACAGAAATAGGTTTAACTGTAAGAGCCTCTGTTTCAGATATGGGAAGCAATAACAGAGCAATGTGGTCGTCATTGGATGTGTCTGTCTCTAGGACAGATAGGAAGACAAATTACAACATTGGAGGACCTGATGTTTTCATTCACAGTATTGCAGATGTACCACATCTCATTAAAAACATATGAGAAATACATTTCTTTCAAGTATTATAATATTACCAGAGGAATTTCGCCACCAGCATGCCTTGCCATCGAGGATAGTATCTTCAGTGTATGTGAAACGACTCTGGTCAAGTGAGATAGAATCAGATGCTGCCCTGAGATCTCTACATCACTTGAACAGAGTTCATCTCTTCCCAACACACTTTTCCTCGATGAATGGGGCATCTGCTGTGCAATTGTTTTCTGTAAAAACAGCTGCTGCTATTGAAAAAGCAGGTTATTTTACACCAAGTTGCAAAAGAAGCATTAACTTCTGCATGGTGGCTGAGACTTGTAGCAGAATGGTTTACAATTATGACTACAAGGCATCCAAAAAAAGGCATCACTATCAAAAATCAAGATGAGAAATTTAATATTTTATTGAAATTCATTCATGTGACTGAAACTGTTCAGTTTGGGAAAGCATGGAAGCCATTTCAAACTGGCATTATTATGAGCACATTGAGTGTTGTGAAACTCTCAAAAGAATTATTTTCCGAGGGGTTTACATTTTTCTTACCAGGCAGGTTGACACAAGATGCGCTGGAAAATGCCTTTTCACAGATTAGACGAAAGTTGGGTGCAAAGCCTACTGCTTTGCAAGCCAAGAGAGCACTGAAATTAGTGTGCCTATCACAGTTCATTTCAGATATCAATAATCCAAATTATTGTTCTGAAAGTGACCACAGCCTCTTTGATGCTTCTGAATTAGAGGTTGCTATCAGAAAGGAGGTCTTGCATCCTATCTCCAATTCTCCAATTCTGTAGTGCCATCTACCTCTTCTGCAGTGGCAGTGAAACGTCGCTTGCCCCCAGCTGTGGAAGAAAATGATATACATTACATCGCAGGAGCCATATATAATAAGTTGTTGAAAAAAAAAAGCATATGTGAAAATTGTAAAACAGCTATGACCATTTCAGAGGACATGCTGGAACCTGACATACCCGAGCATCGCACAATTCTTACAAAACATAGCAATAAAGGTGGACTGAAGGTCATCTCTTCAGGAATGTATCAAATATGTAGGGAAGCTGAACGAGAATTTCAAAAATGTAAAGATGTACTCCTTCGTTTACAATCAGCCATCACAAAAGAATTAGTTGAAAGAATAATTGATAAATGTACGCATGTGGCCATGCCAGAATGCTGTAATCTTAAGAAAGTAATTATTGATAATTTTTTTATTACTAGATGCAAAGGCCTTACACAGCATCTTATCAACAAAAGAGCCCATAACGTTTCATATTCATCAGCATCGGCCAATAAGAAACAAAAAGTAAAATAATTTTAGAAGGTATGTATGTTTTATATTAAATAATTTATGTGTTTTATGTAATATGTATTACTTTTTCCTAGGCTACGAGTATATAAATTTTCTGTGTTTGATGTTATATATATGTTACTTTCTGCTAGGCTATGAGTATATTATTATGGTATTATTTTCTTGTTTCTAATATATAGAAATATAGCATATTTTCCAGTATAAAATTTCAGTTCAAGTTTTACTTAAAAGTATGGGAAAGCAGATTTGTTTCATGCATGATCTTTATAATACTGGTATGAAATGAATGAATTTTAATCTGTAAACAATTTTTTGTTAATATTGAAATGTGTTTCCTTGGGTACATTTTTAGGCACTTGTGGATCATGTCAGACAACATGCAATAGAAAAAAAAAGATGTCCGTGTGCATAAATTTTTCATTGTGTTACTTCATTTTATCTAAATTTCAAGGATAATTCTTTTCATTTTTATATGGCATGTTATTAGTATAAAGGCTAGTGAAAATAAATTGGTATGTGTATCTGTTTTTGAAGTGTAATGCTTAAATAAAAAGATGGTGTGTGTTTCTTCATTTAAATAAAATTTCAAAGGATAGTATTTTTCAGCGTTGTACTGTTTGTTATTTCTCAATGTAAAGGGTAACAAGGGGAAAAAAAACTGGTATGGTACATCTGTTTTTTAAGCATGATAATTTTATTTATTTCTTTAGTGATGCATATATATATAGAGAGAGAAGGTATTTGGTCCAACTGAAGTTATAATAAATCTAATTTTACTAGATCTCTCCCTCCCCTCAGGTGTAGAAAATTTTCAAATGCAGAAAGTTTATTTGCAGAATTAATTCATTTCTGATAAACTTATTATCATTAATTTTTTATATACCATGTTATTAAGTTACACGTATGACTACTGTGTAATAAACTTGTATTTAGGGCAAAAAATTAACTGTTTTGCAGCTGGTGACTAATATCATATGATTCTAAGAATATTACTTTAACTTTTTTTCATAACTTTTGTATTTCAGGAACATGAAACTGTTATTTTGATATACTTAAATAATAAAAGTGTGTATCTGAATCAATTAATGGATACAAATATTTTACAGTTATTTTTAGAAGATATTTGCCATATCGCTTCTAATAATTCATAAAGTATATTAAAATATAGGTAAATAATTTGGTGCAGAATTCAAATTTAGGGTTTGAAATATAGTGAATCATGAGACTAAATGATTTTTATTGTCATGATTTGCCTGGGCTTAAGAATGTACTTTTCGCCCGGTGGAAATTGTCATCAAACTGTCCTGAACAGGCTTTTTGTTGATAATAACTTCCAGGCTTATCAGTACCTCCTTTTCCTTTTGAGTGGAGGGTATACAAATATAGTACCCAATTTAAATTACATTGTGATTGTAATAATATTGTGGTATTAAATAAGTGATTATAATTACAATTTAGATAATTGCTTTGTAATTATATTACATTGTATCTGTGAACTCTTAATTTCATTACTTTATGCAATTATGTTGTAAGTGCATAATCTAATTGCAATAATATAATCTATTCACAATTACAAAATAATTATAAATGCAGTTACATCTTAAATAGAGGCCATTTTAATACTTTTAAATTTTTGCAAGATAACTTCCCATTAAGGTTCATTTGGAGGAAACTATGCAAATACTAAAAAAGAAGTTATGTTAAATTTACATATTTTGTACAGTAGTTTCTTGTTATAATGCTGTTCAATATATCTTCAATACTTTTGTAAATTTAACGACATTCTTTGCAATTACTGTGGGGCTTTAAAAAGAAGTTTCTTAGTTATGCTTTCTAATAAGAATGTGTTAAAAATTAAGTATTATGTATAATAACTAACAATTAAAAAAACTTGACTGCATGAAAATGCTGTTGCTGTGTAAAATAAATAAAAATAAGCTTTCTTTTATGCTTTGAAATGAATTACATGTGGTTAAGTCGTCCTTTTACAATTTAAGAATGTGGTTAACACACATTCTTAAATTGGACAGGTTTTATATCTAAATTATTAGTATAAAATATATAAACTATGAATTATTTTGTAACATAACTCAAATTACAAAATTCATTCTATATACGTTCAAATTTATTATCTTTTATGGAATAACTGTTTTTTAATTTAGGTAAAAATTGGATTTTTAGAAGTATTACAAATACAATGCAACACAAAGGTGATCTGATTGGAGAGGAAGGACTTTTTATTACGGTTTCTAGTTCGTATTTATATTACATTTGGTGAAAAGTCATCCAAAACACAGAATGCTGTACTTTCTTCTTCCATATATGTTATGAAATATTTCACACATTTAAAAGAAAGTGTTTCTTCAGAGTCTTGCACAATTATTTCCATATACCTCAGACTAAAATGACAACATATTCTTAAGTTATTTTTTTAGTATGAATTTACAGTGTTTTTATGGAAATTTTTGTTAAAATGTCATTAAGATAAATTTATTTGCACACTCTACGCTTTAACTATTTCCCCATTTGACACTATTGAAAGTTTTTATTCATATCTTATTTATTTTAGTCTGCTAACGAAACTGAAACATCTAAAGAATAAGTTATTTTGAATATGTTTACAAAATATACGCGAAATTTTTATTTAAGTGAAAACGTCTATATACTATTCGAGAATTAATTAATTATCCGAAAAGTTTATGTGCGCTGAATGCCGCGCGTCTATAAAATAAATCTTTAAAAAAAAAAACAGCAGACATTCAGCCAGCGTGTGCGATAAACGCGCCAAAATTGGTAGCGCGTTCCCTCCCTCGCCAAGAGAGAAAAGTTGGTGATTCAGCCTGGTTTAGAGGAGCCTTAGGGTCACAGGCCAGTGAGCTATATTAAACTATCAAGTAGGAAACCGCATGGCCGATATTCTATTTTTAGCATATCAGATTCAAAATAAGCAGATAAAGAATTTAAATTGGATAAAGATGTATAGATAAGGAGGATGAATTTCTCGTCAGTAGATGGGTATTAGGGCGCAGTACAAGATTTTTTATTGGAGTTGACGGTAAGATTAGAGTAATAAGAGTTCGAACAGCAAGAGGTATCATTAAGTGCGGGATTACAGAAATTACAATATTACCCCAGGAGAAAGCTTCCTAAGTTATTTAATTATCTTAGTTCATTATGAAAATTCTTCTATTGTGTATAAAATTTTGTATTGGAAACTGATTATTATTGTATTGCTGTATTTCGTAAGGTTGTGATATAATAAAATTTTGTATGTTATTATGAGTATTATTGTACGAAATTATTGAAGTAACCCTTCAGTAGCGGGGGGTGTATGTTGTGCCTTTAGGACAGGTTAGATCTAAAATTAATTCATATT